CAATTTCAAAGGCGCTAACCGGAAAATTTGAACGTCGTCGAAATTTTTGTGGTAAATCAACCTAAAATCGGCATGCATTTATTAGGGATTTCCAATCGTACAGTTCGGATATTCTAACTGTTACCTCCGTGAAGAGACATCTGCTATCCGGAATTAAATTTTTGAGGGTTCGAAGTGTGACGCTTTAGGAATTTCTATCCATGGTATGTTACGAATTAAATTCGGAAAGAAATGACATTTCGGATGAAATATAAGTCGAAGAATTATATTGAGATTCGCACATAAAATCTGATGTTTGGAAACTAGTGCAGAAAACATACAATTAAAATGAAATGTAATTTAACAGGATATTAGAACTTTGAAAATTTGGATGTACACTTTAAATTTATGAAATTATTTTTGGAAATATAATTTATTATTCTATTAATTTGAAAACCGAGTAAGTTGAAAGCTAACGTCGTAAATATTATTTCAGAGTACTGTATATCAGAATCAGGTGGCTTTGACTTTGTCTCACAGTATTTCAAAGATGAAACGGCTTTATTGGGCCATGTAAGAGCTCGGTTCATTTATCTAGCGCTAACTCGAAAACGGGTATTCTTCGACTACTCGAAATAATTTTTTTCATAATACCCTCATTATGCGTTCGCATTCTCATTCGAAAATTAAAATATGCAGCGATATTAATTATGAAAGTAACGAAATGTAAGTTTTCATTGCATTGCAGGTATAACTTGTGAAATATTCTTTTGTGATGATAATGATAAAAGATGAGTTGGTTCAAATATGACATTATCATATTGTTTCATAGGTTAGGTTTCCGCTGAGATATGCCGAATGGGGCCGCGTATTGTTATGATGCGCAATGTCAGAATCCGCTTTATAGCACCTGGCATTCAATTCGGTCACGGTAGGATACCGAGAGCTTCTTTGCGTGTCCGCACAAAATGATTTGGTTATTAAGATCGCCACGAGGCCGGATTGAATCAATTTCAAGGAACAGCAAACAGCTTGTACGTAGGTTACCAGGTGGGAATGGGGAGTTTAAAACTTTTATTGGGAAATGTATAGCGCGCGTTTTTTGTACACAGGATATTATTTATGTAGGATTTATTAACATTTTACAGACAGACAATCTGTTGCAAATGAAAGGTAATCAGCAATTTAGCGAATGATATCAAGTTAGTAGAGTTTAGTGTTTTATATACAAAGTACAATTTATTTCTCAAATGAATAGTTTTCGAATCATATGATTTATTGTCGACATCCTGTGTTGTTATGAAATTAGCCAGGACTTGAACGCTAATTTACCTCATTGTGTAAGGAATTTTATATTATCAAAGAAAATATTTGTTATTAGAATGTGCGATTATAGTAGTCGAACGTGACTCGTAGATTCGTGCATGAATGTATCTTAGTCGAACAAGTTAGTAGTGACGTGCATTCCTCAATTGAATAGTTAGCGTTGCAAATTATAGGTACATAAAATATTTTGTTTCTCAATTTCGGGTGTGTTTAAAAAATGTTTTAAATTACGAAAACAACATATGGGCGACGTTGTTGTTCCAGATTTGCCCGGATAATATAACTCTGCTTATATAAGAAATGAAATAAAAAACTATATTACAATCAGATTTTCCAATGCATAATATATTCTTGTTTCAGTACATAAAATTTTAAGAGTTAGAAAGTAGGAACAAAATGGAATACCACGACTCAATTTTGAAGTATTCGATAATTAAATATATTTTCAAAACATTATACACAAAACCCTTTTTTACGAAAAATTAGAAACGGAAACAAGTACTAAACAAATTGTTCCAGTGAGATGGTAGATCGGATAGCCATTTTGGAGTAAATACCACGACATCTGTGCTACGTCTTCCCGCATCCGATGATGGCATATGCGGCAGAAAACCACCGGAATAATTGAAGAATATTTATCTTAATCAACCCGTGTCGTAGCTCAGTCGGTGGTATGTCAGAATGAAGTTCACGAAAGTCAACAAAACCACTATCGTGTTACAGTCGTTATGAATAGCGTGTATGCGCACTTGACCTCCACAACTGCTAAATTGTTTGGGAAACGAACCGTAATAAATGACTCCCCGTATTTTCCCATAAACGACGTAATTATTATTAACATTAATTAGATTTTTCATGTATATATTAGACAAATGCATTTTGGTTTAATGATGTAATATAGCTAAGTGAATATATTCTTACAACTTCTATCTCTTGCGTGGAGCTACGTTTTGGATATATATATATACAGTATTTTGTAACGCACTGAACGGAACGGCATGGAATTGTCAGCCAAGAATAAATGGTAAGTTAAATTTTCATTTAAAGCTAATGGGTTATTAACATGTGTTTTTGACCGGACGTCTCAGTGGTGATGCTGAGGTTTGTCAAATCGTGCTGTTTTTATAATTTTTTTTCATAAATTTAGATGTTTCTAATAGTACTGCGATCATTTTGTTTCGTCCCCGGGTAGTGAATCAATGTGGCCATCTTTTCGGGTTTCCGTCGCAATTCGCCTTCGTTTAGACTACTTATATTTGCTGAGGAGGAAGCAGCCGATATATTACACGCCATTATAAGCTAGGTAAAAACGATTTTCAGAAAATTATACACGGATAAAAATGGTACGACATTTTTAGGGTAGCAGGGGTGGGCAAGGTTTTTGGACTAGGGGCCAACAATTTTGCCCACCTTGACCGGCGGCCATGTAGACGTGACGTAAAAAGATACCATTTTAGGAACAATATTCACAGTGTACAAAAACAAAAGTGGAAAACAATAAGCCTCGTGCCAAAACAAAATTTTATCGCCATATCAACGAATTCCTTGAGCTATTTTATTAGCTTAAGCCTCAAAATTTAGTTTTAGTTTGGATGTGGCAGCATCAGGCGGGTCGGATTGAATTACCCAACGGGGCCGGATTTTGCCCGCGGGCCGCAGTTCGCCCATACCAGGGGTAGATAATAAATCCAAGCTATATTTCTGGCTTCAATACAAAAATTTGATTTGGACGTATTGGCGCAGTCTTATTCACCAGCCCTGACAGACTGTCAGACTCTCATTCCTTTGCGTATATGAAGTGCGTTTGCGGCTACAAATTTATGGCGACCCACTAGTCAAGGACTTTAGAGTGCAAACAAGAAGTTTGATAAACAAATATCTTGCTAAATAATAAATCGAAGACTCTCATCTTGAGAAAACGGCCGATTGTATTTCAATGTGTGTTTTTTTGCGACCGACCGCATAAATAACGAAAACAACTCAAGTGGACTTAACGCCGGACCCAAAGACCAGGGATCGTATTAAAAGAAATATCTTGTCGCGGAGCAAAGAGAGAGAAAGCATCGAGGTGCGAAAGCGCGTAAAATGTACAAGTGCTTCACACCAATTATACAAAACAAACAAACCGGCGTTGAATGGAAAAATGTAAAATTAATACATAAACCAAGTGAACACTGAAACAAAATTTGCGGGTTAATTAGAATCGTCAAATTAAAGTTTTGAGAGTACGGGGTTTTGTATCTCAACGTTGTGCACGTAGGCATGGGTCAAACGCGAAGTTGAAGGTATTTTAATAAAAGAGAGTCAGCGACACTACGCGGTGCGAAAAGATCTGAAAGAGAGACAGCCCATCTCGTCCGCGCGCTCTCGCTTGTTTTACGGCGCTCATAAGCATCGATGATGGCTTGCTTGGTACAGGTCCGCGCTAAGTAAGTCTGTGGTAAAATAGAGTGACTCGTTGTTGAGTATATTTACTTTTTGAAAGAACGGCGTATCGAAGCGATGAAGGTATCTCATGACGAATGAGTTAAGTAAACGTAACATTTTTATGACTCGTCCGAACGTAATAGTCCTCCGGTTAATTCGCTAAAATCGCGCGGGCGTTAAATAGGCACAGGTGCGAAAAGGGATTTATATACTTGAGGAAGTAAAAACACATCTTCGTTTTGTGCTGAAAAGCAAAGCAGGTGTATGCATACCTAGACTAATTTATAAATTAGCTATTTACTTCTATAATTTGGAAGTTACGTTCTTTTATATTTTATGTCTATCAATGTTGAACTATCAAGCCTTATTTATTCTGCTGTATGTAATGTTATGAATAGAAAGACGTACTTTGTACCGTACGTATTAGAGCAGGTGTTATTGAGAGCAAAAAATTTTGCAACTACAAATTAGCGAAGAGGAATTCGACAAACGTCTAAAGTTATAATTATTATCCATGATGCGAATGTAGTGCTTAAAAATTGGAACGAAACTTAGCGCACACCTCGTTAAAACCTGACTGTGTTAAATTTAATTAAACTTAATTTTAGGTTAAATTGAAGTTGTTTTTATCAGTTTAGTTCAGTAAGTATCAGTTTTTAGTAAGTTAGATTCATTCGCAGCATAAAAGTATGATTCACACTGTTCTTTTTAGTTTATTGCTATTCTTGGCATTCCAGTTAAATTCTTCGAAAGATAAGTCATTGATTCTAACCCGTTCAGCTTGCAGATGCCACAGCAATCCGTCAGGATATATATATCAGTATTTAGAAACGGTGGGTTTTGCGGACTTCATATATATATATATATATATAAATTTTTATATTCGATTGTAAGGATAAATAGTACGCAATCACGCAGGCCACAAGACATTGTCAAAATGGACAACAACTCGTTCCCCAATTTTCTTTTCCATCTACAGGTGTATCGATACCGGACGTTTGTTAGATTTGCGCGGGAAGATAGGTACTGTTTTTGTGCGCGCTGTCAGGTAGTGACCGTCAGACCCCGGATGTTACTTACCTAGGTGTGTAAGTAATATTCCACATGTTTTCGTGAAAAGGTACTATCTTCTTTATCATTGTCATGTTTATATGAGCTACTATTACAAACATTAAAGTGTATTTCAAACGACAAGTGAGAGTTCTGCGTTCAAGATATTTGATGCTGTTTTACATGCGCAAATAACTAATGCCTTCGTACCATTACAGCGTAGAAGACACAAATAACTGGATTGAAAACTTAATTGCTATAAAGTAGTATATAATCGCAAAAGTAAAGTGAATCAGTAAATGATACAATATAGGAAGTACAACATCACGGAAATATTGACGTCGTTATAGGATCTCATAAACAGAAAAATTGCGAACGTTACTAAACCTACCTGTTTGTTTTGCTGGGAACAGCATGCTGTGCAGTCGTCATACTGGTAAGTTATACAAAGTGCTGAAAACTAAACGAGAAGTCGTATTTTTTTAATATTGGTCGTGTACTGGGATATAGACATTCACTTGTGCATGGTCTTTTCACCCCGTCAACGACAAAGTAATATATATGAATTATTCTGTGCTGTATCTTACTATGGATTTTAGTTTACGAACGCAATTTGACATAACTGTTTGTTTACTGCCGCGAAATAGGTTATGTCACAGATGCGTTATTCAGGTGTGTGGTGCTGTAATCCGTGATTCTTCACACGTTTTGTTTATTTCATTGACAAATATAATGAGGATCAAATGTGAAGAATCACAGCTTTGTTTCTAATCCCTTGTCTTGATCTATTTGGTATTGCACCCATAAACAACAATGTGATAGCGAGAAAGCAGTTCGGAAACATAAACACCAGATTACTGTGTTCATTAAGTGTGACCACGCTTCAGTTCCATCATATCACCTTCACCTTGGTAGATTTCTGTCACGATAGCGGTTCCGGACATACGGCGGTGTACCGCCTCTGGGGTAATTCGGTACTAATGGCGTTCGTTACTAATGGAAAAGTGTGAAATGCCATGTGTCTTATAAACATACACAATCCAATTTACAGGTTAAAAATATGTGGGAATCGGACTAATTTTCTTCACGGTTACGAATTGCGGCTAAAATTTTGTACATATCGATGTATTCTTGCTTATGGTTTTCAGACAATTTGCAAACAATTGACAACATCATGGGGCATAGTCAGACATTCACTGTTCTTATCGTCATTATATTTCGTTCAGCCAGGTTAGGCTTGCTTTCTACAAACACAATGTAAGCAGACCCGTAACTATTCAAACAACCGGTTGAATAAAATGGGGTTACACTGGCGGGATTTTACTGAAATCATTTCGCGCACAACTCATCAAATGCTGTCTATATGTCATTAATCACCTACGGTACACACGACTGTCCCATTATACCCGCTGATCTTGCGACATTTCGACCCATAGTTATGTCAACGCGCAATAGTAAGAACCAGCAACCTCATAGCTCAAGTAAAATTATTATTTAACCACGGAAATAATGACCGATTCTTTTTGAACTCGGATAATCTCAAGTGCATTATTGTTACTGTCAAGGTGAGCGACATGGATAAATGATTCTATTCGCAAATGCAAGTTTATACATGAATTATTTAACTGGTTTATAGTGTATTAATACAGTAATATAGTTACACTAATTCCAGCGTCGTGTATGTATGAGTTTTAGATAAATTTACCCAATAAACTATTTGACGATTTGCACTTTGTAATGAATTCGTGGGCCGCAAATTATTTGAAAGTGAAACCAAATTTCTCATTTTATGCCTAACACCACATTTTTTTTCAATTATCGAAGGATTATGGCAAATTACCTCAACATCCTACTCTTTATAGAATTTATCATAAATTCAAAAAAAAAATGAAATCAACGTTCAATATATTGGGCTAGCAGCTCAGAAAAAAAACGTGAATCTTTACTCTATAAAAAGTTGTGGCATATAATTTTTGTCATTTTATTTGGGTCCGTCGGAGCGTTTGATTATTCATAGCGTTTTACGATCAAAAGTGCATAAGGTGGCATTTTTGATTTTCGCCAAAGTATCGGTCTGGATGTAATCACCATAGTTTTGATTTTCTTCCTGAATGGTCTTATTCTTGTGATGTTAAACCGTAGCGACGTAACAATTGGTGCGCACCTGTGCGTGTTAAGACATGCCGTGTGAATGTCACAGGAAGGGTTAATTTCTCCCGCTCAGAAGCCCCTCTGATTGCTCCCTAAGTTGGTGTAATATCATCCATAGGTATTGAATGACCGTTGTCACACCAACAGATTTTTATTTTGTAAATTATCCTCGTGCAAGATCATTCCCTTGCAAAGTTAAAAAGTACGTTTTACACGTTGTGTGATTGTGCACCAGTCAGCGATGCGTGATCAAGCTCTTCACAACAAAGTTTCAGTTGTTATATAGTGTAATGTTCCAGTTTAAAAATTCCAAACAGAATAGAATTTCAGGTTTTGACTGTCTATAATTTATATTGGATCTATGTTTCATAGAAATTATCAAATCTACTTAATATTTTGTACTTGTTTCTCCTTGAGATATACTTGTCCAGATGCTTTCCGTATCAGTGGAGCCCTTCCATTCGTGTGACAGGGACGGTTTACTTATCACACCTATCCAGGCGTGAAACCCGGCTTAAGTATTACCTCAGTTAGAGTTGAAGCGTGTGCCAACAATATAATACTTCTTATAAAAGATTGCCTTTTTAGCTTCTCGCTAATGGTTACTCGATGAAAAGGGTGTGTTTACTTTCGCTGATGAAATGGATTTTTAACATTCCGCGTATGATGATGAAGTTTAATTATAATCTAGTATACAACACCTGGCCGTACCTTACATGTGTTCGACCTTTTCCTTTGTTGCTTTGAATATTGCACAATGTATATATGTATTGTTATAATTATCAAAAACACATAGAGACGGACCACCCTTGTCTGAGCTTTTTTCCAAAATTATTTTACCCGTAAAAAGAGAGATTTATTTCGTAAAAGTCAAGGCTTTTATGTTGTTTACATTCCCGCGTATGTTGTGCGCAACCCCATGACCCCCAGCGAAAACACTGAATTAATTTTTTCCCTTCTCAACGTTGACAATTGCAAATCCGGGTCTGGTGATAAGTAATCGATACACACGCATTTTTCCTGCCAAAACGTTACATCAATGCTTCACCTATGCTGCTTTTTTCTGAAGAAATTTCGAATTTTGGAACTTGTGAAACATTCTCTCAATACTGACCTATTTGACTTTTAACTAGTCAAAATCTCAAATAAAAAAGTGCTTTTGGTGAGTTACTGAGACAATAGGTTTATGGAGAATTAAGTAGACCAAAAAATCATGGTTTCGTGATTTCTACCGATTGTACAAATGTACGATAGCTGTGTTTTAGATTTTGTGTCATTGTATATTTGTTTTTGTTTTTGAATAATCCTGTACAAATTTAGGGCAACAACTTGTAAATATGTGCGCAACATTGTCTCAAGTTTAGGAAGCCAATACGTTCTATTTCAACAAAGCCATCCTACTTGTTCGTTACTATTGTCGGTTTTAAGCGCACCTGGCGTTTGAAGAATCCGCCCTAAACAATAACTACGATGTATGTTGGGTTTGTGTTTTGTCGTAGTCGCGTTTGTATGTTCTCATATTTCATAGATCATGATGCGTCGCCGCGTATTGAATATATTCGATTACCGGGTTGTACATGTTACTATGTTCCAGGAACAACTATCAATTTGTATCGTAAACGGTTGTCTGTGTTGCCATGTACTTGAAGGAGTAACAAATAAACACCGTTCTAATGTAAGAAAGTGTTTGATCGCGGTGTAACATTTAGTCATACTATTCAATGAATTAGTGTTCTTACTGCTTAATTTTCTTTATGTCGTTAGAATATTGAAACTTTAATTTGGGTAACAATTCATATTATATACAATGTTGATATACATATGCTGTAGCGGCATGAAGCTTGAAAGTAAGTGGGCAATCAGCTGCTTCCAAAATAGGGGGGGGGGGGGAATTCAGTTCATGTTTTATTATTTATTTTCTTTATCGCATCCATGACGAATTATCAAGTTCGTGTATTCGGGTTGATATCGAGGTTACTGAAGGTGTGAAGAATCTATTCTGTATAGCCTCAAGCTAGCACGATCCACATTCTTTCCTGGATTATATTGACATTTACTGACAATGAGATGGGGTCTTGCATGTCACAAAGTGAAATAGTAGAATTTAAGCCTTTAATGACCATAATAATATTCCATTCAGACACAGTTTTATTATTGTGTTTTTATCATTGTATAATAAATTTGATACGAGCGTATATTGGATACATACGTTTATACAAACAAGTGAAATGACAATAATTTCTAGGTAACTCATACATATAGATTTATGTAAAACCGATTATCTGAGGTTGAATTTTAGAAACTAAATGGACAGGTTATTGCATTTCTTCTGTAGCTTCAGATATACTCGCGTAGTCAATATCATTGAAAATATCACATTATAAAATATATCCCTTTAATTCGCTTTTATGAAATCATTTTGACTAAAAACCTGTTTTGTGGAAGCCGTGAAAATGCCAATAGAAAATAAAAATTAAACCTCAAATATAATGCCATTCATAAAAAGTTGATTTATTTTTCAAAAAGAAGATTTTTATCAAATTTTTACATTCAGTGACGTCTTTTCAAATAAGATCAATTGGAAATATATGCTTCTAACTCGAGAAAACATCACTTTCAACAGCTTTGTGGTAAACAATTGGTTTTACTGTTTATTATTCTATGATCAGATCTCAATCATGAACTGGCGTTTTTTTTATTGAAACTTGAGAACATATTTGGTCAAAAATAATAATCAAAATAGAGTAAAAACTCAAAGTATTTAATTTAGTTATTTTTCCAAATTACATAGTACTTAACGATGTATCCCACCCAATTTTGAAATCCCCATGTTTGTGAAATACTGTTTATGTGTTACAGTTAATAAAAATATTTCTGACTGCATAAAATTTGATTTCATCACCACGAATATCGCCACTATATTTAGTTCTTATTTTTATGTCGTTGTTGTGCTTTTTTATTTGACGTTCACGAGTGAAGTTCCGACATTTTTTCATCGTATGTTTTGAGTTTACGTTAGCTATCCACGATTCGACGGATGTTTTTTTTGTAAACACACAGAACTTCAAAAAGTAATTAGAGATAGAGTAAATGTGAAACTCACATGTCATGCTAAACAGGATTGATAATTTAATATGACACTTAAAAAATTATCTCGTATGCTTTATTGCAGTCTATGTAATTTTAAAGTCTTGAATGCTTTTAGCCACATGACATAAAATGGCTGTGACTGAACTATAAATTTTTACAGCGCAGGTGTTGTAAAATTTCAGTTTCTTTAGTTTGTTTTGATAAAAACATTTAACTTGTAGCGTAAGTTTTCCGTCTCAACATTATCTGAAGTACATAAGGTTTTGAGGATTTGAAATCAACTTTCATTGTTTCTTCCATAGTCACTTCCTTTAGTAGTTAACTATATTTTGTGTTATTTTACGCATTAGATAATATGTTATGCGCAAAACCGTGTCACATTTTGACGTTTTGTTTACATTAAGCCTATTTTCAAGATCCCGCTTTGTAAGAAGGCGATATTATCTGACTTACAACGCCTTGAGGTTTTAGTGGTTCTGTCAGCGTCCAGGTGTTCGAAATCCGTTTATTTTTTTGTTTATGACGCACAACATACGATTCTAACCGCTTTATAAAGTCTATAAATTCAGCGGCAAATAAATAATTCGTCCATAGCTGCCATTTTGATTAGTCAACTTTTGGGAGAAAAGTTACGTATATCGTTGCGTATCATCGAATTTCGCGCTGAATGATTTTTATCGGTACTTTTGGACTTATTTGTCAAATACTTCTACATTTCAAAGTAATTCAGTCGGGTTTAGTGATTGTGATATTTTGTGGCAAACTTGGCCCACGCATACTGTACATAAGTTGCAAAAAAAACACCGCTGTTTCCTATGTCGATCAGAAACCTAATTGTTATCACACTAATTTCACTATCACAATACAACTTTACGTAATATGAATTTTGATCGAAGCAAATATGAAAAAAAAAATTTTCAATTTAATTTATCTTTTCTTAAAGTTACTACTGAAATAGAAGTAAAGAGAATAGAAGGCATATTACTTCGGCTTAAATCATATTACTTACTATATAACCTTAATAAAAATTCCGTAGCAAATTTGTCATTCGCTCAGCGTTTAAGACTTTATGACAACAAAATTGGTCACAGCGCGGTATTGCGTTACATCGTGACTCACGTTCAAAATTTATTTCCATCAAATATCGATGACCTTTTTACTTTTAAAATTTCTGCCTCCGATTTATGCCGTTGATCGGCGATCTTTATCTTCAGTGAGATGAAAGATTGAAGTTTATGGACTTTTTTTAATATTTTTATATCTTTGTGGTAGATTCCAATTTTTTACCATAGTTAGTTCGCTCTACCAACATTAGGCCAAAAATTGTCGAGAAAAATTAACTGAATAACACTAATGATTATCATTATTTGTAATTACTCTAAAGTATACAATTAATCTTATAGGCAAATTCTTGTTCACTTTCATATACAAAGCTTATAAGATGAATGAATTATACTTTATTTCATATATACCGTTAGTATGTTACAGGATTGATATACAATATAGATATTCTAAATTTTACGTTTTGTGTAAACAGCTAACTATTAGGTAAAAGTCAATTGGTTTTTAAAAAAAAATTATATAATTAAATGACGACAATTAATATTTAATAATTAAACATAATTGTAGATTGTGGTTTCTTGTATTTCGAAAATTTCAACTTTTTGTGGTAATTCAGGGAAGTGCGTATATAAATACTCGATCATGTTAAACTCCATGGTGTGCAGCTTATTTTGATGTCGAATATATAAAGTAGATTAAATATGTTATTAATTGTAAATTTCGACAAAACTCTAGTCTTTTGTTTGTTTAGAACTATACTATCCTTTGAAGAACATTTGGTTATAATCTTTATCAAAATGCTTGGTCCATAATAATATGGAATAAAATCGACCTGCCCGACAGCAGGATAACCAAAATCTTAAAATATCCCGAAAAAATATGTATTAAATAACTCACTATTTATTGAATGAAAACTATATTTAGTATCATTCGGGGTTACTTTCTTTATTGACTCGCCGAACCCACAATATTACCGACGCAGTGGGGCCTCATCGGTGATATTACGATGGAAGTAAACACTGATAAAACTTTCAGTTATTCAGTAATCTGATTTTACAACCAAGGTATTGTCGAATGAACACAAAAACATCGCAATATGATCGCAGTAATAATCTTCGTTCTTTGGCGACATCAGGCCGAAATTTTATTTGTTTTCACAATTGTATTTTTCAGCAATATATTTGACGATAAGGACACGCCCAGCAGAACGGCACCAGATAGCAGCGGGAAATTATACGAAGATCGTGACGACAAAAGTCCCTACCGGCAGCTGCTTGTGACGCCATCGCTCAGTCGTAAAGGAGGGTCGAGATCCTTGCATCGTTCTACATGGACGATGATGGGGGCTCACCACCTTTACGAATCCTTTCGCCAATCTCTTCAAAAAGTAAAAGTCACCAATCTTCTTCTCTTCATCTTACTTTTATCGTCAGGTAAGAATACAGAAATTGTAATAGGCTCTCAATTTATGATTAAGAAGAAGGCCTACCAGAAGAAAATTTTAAATTCATTTTGTGATACCGCGCGTACTCAAATATCATGAAATTTTGATAAAATATACCACATTTCACTGCATCCGTCCAAACTTTGGCAAAGTCTTAAAATTTTGACACGGTATGTTGACGGTTCATGTCGTCGATTTCAAGTGATAGATGACAAAAATCCGCTTGGTTTTAAACGCACAATAAAGCACTGTCATTTTAAGACTTCATCCTCTTGAAAGAAAATGTAAAGGATGGCTGAATATTAATGATGTATATGTCTTTTTTAATACTGCACCAGTTTACCTGTTCAAATTAGGGAGATTATGATGAAATGTAGACGAATTTATAAATTTATTATTAAAAAATGTTAAAAATTCTGTATAAAGCGAAAAAAAAAAAAAAAAAAAAAAAAAATAGCAGTATGGATTATATTAAGTTTTAAAGACAGTTGGGAATGCAAAAACACGCGCCATTTTTTCTAGTTTTCGATTTCAATTTCCAGCTCACAGCATTAGTTCATAAAGCATCTTATTTCCTTTTTTGATTATGCCGGTCGATCAGCGAGTGCATCACTCATCAGCGTATTTCAACGCTTTATCAGAATTTCTGCTCTAACGTCACGTCTCTTATGTTGACTTAGATATTCGGTAGAAATTCCTTTGTAGCTTCCACGAACGAATTTTAAGTTAAAACGTTAAGCATTGACTTAGTTGAATAATATCCAAAAGTTCGACCTTTTGTTATATTTTTCAAGTTTTTCAAACGAAATTTATTTCATTCTCACTCTCTACCCTAATGATCGTCATCAACGATAGCTGTTGATATAATTGTTCAGAACGCCGGTTTCGTATCTAGGTGAACTCAGGAAATGGTGGTCTACTTTCTATGCTTAATTATCCGTTCAGGGCTGGTGACGTCAGTGACGATCACTTTTCGCTGTTAGCAAAATAGTAAAAAATCATATATGCCTTAAAATGTTTCAGTATATTTTAAAATAATTTGAACTGACAGTCGAGACTTGGTTGTCTATGTCACCACACGTTATTAAGATTTTGGTGATAGATTCATTATATACAAGTGCTGCAATTTGATTTCTGACAAGATGGTCTTTTTACCCGCCGTGTTAATTTTAAAGGAGATATATAACGTGAATATTATGTTCTGTCTCAAACTTGTAATAATGGCAATAATGGGTAACAAATATCAAAAAATGACAATATTTTAAATCAATATTTGGAATTACAAATATCAATAAATTTGATATTTTATCAATGCTTGTACATTCAATACACTTCACTTTACGATTAGCAATCTTTAAGTCATCTATCTATACAACGAGTTTGTATATTTATTATAACTAGTTTTCCTTCCCCCAAGTGCTCTAAAGATGGATTATCTGCAAACCGCGCTTTTGTTATTTTAGTCTGAAATAGTTTTTAGGGCAAACTCATTTGAGGTACCATTCGTTGTTAGAATTTGATTTGGGGTCGTAAGGGGAAGCGTGCATTGTTCATTTTTGTGGTGCATAAACTGATTATATCATATCCCCCATAATAGAAGGGCTTTCATGCCTGTAATATGGGGAAATGTTTATAATTTCATATTAGTGAGAACATCGAGTAAAAGTATTTTTCCGTATAAGCAAGAAAGATATGTGGAAATGTTCAAATTGTTTTATATTCAAAAATTTTGATAAAATGAATGTCTTTCTACAGTCGATTCTGCCAAACCACTTCGATGTCAGGTCGATAAATGCAGCAACAAATACCGTGAAACCAGTGAAACGCAAGATGTTGATGAAAAATGTCGTCTGTTGAATGCTCATCGGAATTGTCTTGAGAAAATGGAAATCCAATGTCGCGGAAGTTTCATGTATCACACAAGTCTCACCGTCAATGAAAGGGCAACGAAAGACTATGGTTGTATTAATCGCAGCAGACAAAACAAAACAACGCAAAGTCTAAAAATCAGTGTAACTTTGCTGGAAAGTCTAAATACAAATTTTGCAGTGTTTTTGGAGATCCACATGTACGTACGTTTTCTGACAAATTTCATACATGCAAAGCGAATGGTACGTGGACACTCATCCACAACGATTACGTCGTCGTCAAAGCCACTAACAGTCTGCTGCAGGGAGGAATGGAAGCTACCGCTATTTCAAAGGTATTTTATACTTATAAATAAATCTAAATTGATATGTTCTATATGTTCACCATAACGATGCTTTCAAAGATTCTATGTGTAAGTTACTATAAAGGATGTATTGCACGGATTATTTATCTAAGAGGCCCATAATGTAGTATCATTTAGGTTATCAAGTGACAGGACACAGCTAATTCTCTGTATCAGCATAGATTTGGACTAACTAGTTCAGCTTATGACTTTTTGCACAATGATACAATGTTTCATTACTGTTACGACGATCCGTGGTAGCACAAGTTGAGTACATTTACATAAGCCCGATCTACAAGTAGCCAAAATGTTATTCAAACGTTGAGGTCTTGTTTAAAAGTTTGAAACTCGTTGTTACAATTGACTTTATCAAGTTTGCGGAACGCAAGTGCTTGATTACCAGTTAGGTACTTGAATCTGATGATTAGCTAATGACATTGGGCCAATTCACGCATACTAACTGTATCGAGTCACGATTTTAGAGTGGATGGGCGCTCAACAATTTTGCTTAATTCCACAGTACAAATTTATTGCTCTCATGTGTAATTAATTACTCTGTTTACGATAGAGGTGTTCTTTGACTATGGTCGGTCAAGTGAAGTTCTTTTGAAACGGTAATGTATCAATGATTTTAGACCTGTAATACATATTTTGGTATTTTAAAACCCTGGTAGTTCACACCAATAACATATAGTCATTCTGGTATTAAACCAACAAATAACCGGCTTGTGTTTCCTACTTCACGTTAAAGCTTTCATTACTTAAACACAAACCCTTGAAAGATCCCACCTATTGGCGCTGTTATCCATACAGTTTTTAAACCACGCGGATGGATAAGCGAAAGTTTATATTGTCATCCCTCGTTCGGTCGTATTTTTATTATAAAGAATAGTAAATGAGATAATCGTACTTATGCTTCATGAGATAATGTGATTCATGTATGGCATATTTCAGTTTAACTAGCACTGAACATGTGTCGCTTTTATTTTGATAAAAAGTATGAAATCAAAAGGTTCGGATCACAAGACAACAAATCATGCTCGGGTATTTTAACTTACAGCCATTTGAAAATTGAAATTTATAAAACGCAAAATATTAATAAACATAACTAGACGAACTACGATAATTCAAATCTAGTCCACTTTCACAACTCTGAAATCGATTTAACGTTTGCAACGGTAATATAATAACAAAGTTTGTGTTAACAAAAAGACCATTAGTGCCTATTTTTAACATTAGTTTCTTTCATGTGACCCCACACGGAGTTTTAAACTTAAGCGTCGATGATTGGAATACCTAATAGTATGGGCTGGTCCATTCGACAGGTACTATCCCTTGGTAAAATTGTCGGACCATGGATGTCGGGTTATCGAACCCTAAAAGAGTGCGATTAAATATTTGACACCGCAACACCATTGTTCAGATTTTGTAACAATTAAACAGTGCAATAAAGAGACAGAAAAATATACGATTTTTTTTTATATAAAAGCTTGAATCGCAGGCATTCACAGCGCAAAATTGATTTCTACGTTAAGTTTGCTTGATATAAACAGATTGTGCTTATACCTTTGGCTTTTGAATGTACTCATGTACCATTTATGCGTAGAATTATTGCGGTCAACAATTTCGTCAATCATTAACTGAGGGATGAAAGGACCAGTGTTGGAACCTTACACCAAAGGCGAGGAATTTGTTAAAATCCTTTGAAACCATCGTTTTGTCTCGTATTTATCAACCCCTAGATCCAAACCACAGCCGTTTCCAACAAAAGAGAAAGATTATGAGTTTGCCATTTGTAGGGCTTACGCAAATAAGCGGCTTGTGCCTTTCTTCAACGTGAGCGAGGGCTTGGCTACAGTAAGTCAATTTTTACTGTCGTTGACGGGCAGTGTTTCTCGAATACGAAACGTTATTACCTGAATTGAAACAAACTTATTGTTTCCTCGCAAATTAAGTTTCAATGAATTCCAGCGTAATATTGCCTCTAACTATATATATAGAGTCATACAAAATGAGGCTGAAAAGTTTCCAAATAAAAATAGCTCAATTGACACTTACGGGGAAGATGTAACATAGCACAAACCTAATATATAAAGGTATTTGTTGCACGGCAACGCTCAAATTTCAAAGGAATTCTGTTTTTGAATCGAACTGAATGTCTTAATATATATTTATCAACGTTGTTACGTGAGATCTATCCGATCCATTATACACGTTACGGTGTGAAGTCGTGTGTATTTAGCCCCTTTTCGTATTTTGTAACGAGTTAATGCTTAACCTGGAATATACTGCAGAAAATATATTGAATTTTATAGTGTATTCGGTAATTTTGTTCGGTATATGTATCTCTTTCTGATATTTGAATTACTCAGTTTGACTCAAAACCCGACGTGAAATGCCGCCTGAATCTATTCCATTATCGACCAGTAAACATAAGGTTATTTGGCATATATCTACTGTGAAATTCCTGAAAGAATTACCGTTATTTGTAACAAATTTTTGTCGAAGCGAAGATAACATTCTATGCGAAATTCCAACATGGTAGTCTTGTGTGTTGCTTGGCATGTCCAATATAAAATCTTGTAACTGAACCCGATTTTGCAACTGTGGTGAGTTGGTGTGGAACTTGTTTGCTGACACAATTTCTACATTTGAATCCTTGGTGTTAAGTTTGAGGTGAGTATGACCTTGGATCACGGACAACTTAAATGTACCACCTGTGGTATGAGTTATGTATATTAATAGTCAACAGAAATTTTTGCCAATGTATTTAGAAACACCCTCGCGAAGTGGGATAGTGTTGCACAACAGAGCCCTAGTTGCGTAATATTGAATTTTTAGTATTGGCTGGCAGTTTTCCTTGCTTTTTGGCGAAGATTTATTGCGATCCAGAAAAACCGTCGTTTAGTTCTGTATAGATATCACACAACACAGATTTCTTTGTAACGGCCTAAGTCGTTAATTTGTTAGGACAAACCTTTATTTGGTAAGACTATCCTTCCACCGGTCTGGTTACGTCAGCTCTGTTCAGTGATCTTTTGACCTTGCACTTTGTCCATTCCATCGTTTCGAGGGTTTAAACACTGTTGTACAGAATTTGGAAAACGACAAGTATTTCACCACACATTCGTTTTATAAAAAAGACGGGGTTGGCATGAGTAATTCGAGTTAAGCAACCTATCATTGTTTTGTCGCCGTTAACGTTCTATTGCAGCCAAATATTGTATCATGCTTAAAAATGAAATGATTGTAACGAGTAATTTTACCTATTTTTTCATTAGTATGGCCACATTTCCTGTCGCCTCACGTCTTAAGATCTACTATAAAAACAACCCCATTTGTGTGGGGTACGAAATCAAATCTGGTTCAGGTCAATGGTCGTGGGACCCATCGTTAGGATAATGCTTAGGTAATTGAAGTATTGCAGTGTAGTATTTTTGTTGAAGAAAAATGTTTTTAATGTGTTACAACTCTTGTAGCCTTTAAGGTAAGAATGTCACTTGGAAAATTTTTTATAAGATCCTGAGTTGTTGGGGTTTGATAAGGCGTAGCGCAATTCTTTTATAATATTCCTTCATTTGGCTTTTGTTAAGCGTTATCGTTCAGTTGCAGTAATTAAAATATTTTCGCTCAAGTTTAGTTTGTGTTTACTTAGTATATGATAAAACGTTGTTTATATATTCGGCTTTATGATGATTAAATAACCTGTTAACTGCTGATGGTTAAGATTTGAACCTTTTTATGGGTTTTAACTTTGATTTCCCGCATATGGAATTGGTTTCGGCCAAATTGCACTAATGGAAAACATTTTGGTGTTGGATTACAATTTTCATTATATTTGTTAAACAAATGCTCGCCATATTCGTAAAAAAGTAAAAACATCGAATATCGATGCATTTTCAGGTAATTCCTATTCATTTGACGATCAAAACCATGCTTGTCCGTGATAATTTACCGTGGTGTTTCGATTTACTTCATAATGCCAGTTTTTATTCTGATTTGGAACTTAGTAAAAATTTAGGAAGCTTTAACATGAGTATGTTGAACAGGTGCGAATAAATACGATTATGGCAATCAATTGAATCGCTGGGGCGAAAAGGGCTTTTTCAGTAGATAATCTCAAACTTTCACGCCTTTGCTCTAATGGCATCCCAAATTATCGAGTTGCTTTTACGTTCCATTTTCATACCGAATACTTTTCAAAAAAGTTTTGGTGCTTTGAGGGACACTTTATCCTTTTCTGGCCATGAATCTCGCGAAAGCAAACATCACATGATAACGTATTGGACAGCCTCTAATCTCAAAAGTTAGTTTAAATACCACTTAGCTTTCATGGGGATAAACAGTCTAATACACGGCAGCCGCAATTTATACCTTTGAAGATTCGCCGCTTTAAGATCTTTGGATTCATTTCTATACTAAGAAATTGCAATTTCGGTTCATTTGAAACATGATTTTACGTCATTGACTCAAAAAAGAAGGATAATGAAGTTGCCTTGCGACCAAAATTGGATATGCATAAGTCGAACAAAATCTTACTTAACCCTGTTTAAACGGTTAAAGGTAATTTTCAAAGCACATTGTTTTGATGCGAGACGGTGTATCCATGGGAAAGTATACGAGTTGCGGTTTATTTATGAAAAATATGCCAAAAATTAGAAAGTCGAATATTTGTCAGACTGATTCAAATGGTTGGGCGAAAAAAGATAAATCCTGCTAGCTCACGAAACCCGGTGATCAGACATATATTTTTGTGACGAATTTTGTATATTTAGTATATTTCTAACATCTTAGTAATAGGCATTAGTTCTGGGGAAGCGTTTAAGTGACTTTAGTCGAGTGTGTGAAGTAATATTAAGGGCCTAATTCTAATAGAGAAAAAATGATTATAATCCCTCGCATCAGCTTGGGTTGACGTAGTAACTTAGTTGAAGACAACAGCCGACAGGCGAACGCTCAGTCCCTCTCACGATAATTTCACACCCAGAATATATCAAGTACTCCCCTCTTCACACACCAAAGTGCGCAGTTTCACAATGGAGCTACGTCTCGATTGTACTTCAACGTAAATCAGCTTGCCGGATCCAAAATGATTTCTCGCTATAGTGAAAAATACTAAACGAGGGTGAATGTAAAATTTCCCACGAGCAATTTACACTGAAAACATATTGACTCTCATAAATCAGAAATCGAACCGAATTAATAGTAATATTTGCATTAAAAATATACATATAATCTTCAACGATTAGATTTTCTACTAGATATAATGAGTATACATTTATTTCAAGAATTTTCGCTCAACGTTTAAGTCTCAAAGACCATTTAAAACCAGTTGCTTCGCATATGCAAAACAATTACGATTTTAAACTTGAGCCCAAAAGCTGGTTTTGTTTGTGGCGAAACCCATGGTGCGATACTCGATTGCACTTCAGCGTGACAGATGGAAGGCTAATGAACAATTGAGCACTTCTCGTGACAGGGTTTAATGTGACTCTCGTTTACGCACATGGGACTTTATTTGAGAAATCGCTGCTTGAAAATTTGGATAGTTGACAAAACAGCCCGTGTAAATGTGTTTTTCCATTTGACGTCATTTTGCTTAACTCATCTCGTTAACATTACTACTGAACGCCATTTTCCAATTCTTCGTTCCTAGCTTATTTGGTAGCACTAGGTTCACATCAAAGTCAAAAATCTTTGAATCACGGTAACGTGATCTAATTTCGACCGCGTCGTTTATCATTGTCTTATTGACAATTTGGGGACGTCATAAACGATACATCGATGCAACAAACGCATTTATTACCGTTACCGCGATCACGACCATATCAGATAAAGTTTGCGCTTCGCAAGGATGAACACCTGGTCTTCCGACAGAATGTCGACGCTAATTCTGCTTTGATTGATGACCTTACCTTAGCTAAACATTCCACAAGAAAGTACAGTCAATTTATTTGAAATAATGGGTATTGGTGGCATGTATTCTTTCGTACAATTGACTAATGCTGTAACAGGCTCGAAACGTATGTGAAGCTTAAAAATCGCGTTCCATATCCAGATCGTAATTTTTCCATATCTGCCAGTGTAAACTGAATTACTGTGAAATTCGAGTAGATTTTGCTCATATTTTTCAACAAAGTAAATACTCAGATTAAGCGAACGTGAATGTTGGTATTTTGAAAGTGGAAAGATGACTTGACGATGCGAGACCAAACTCAATGAAACCCGCGAAAATCTGATTACTGGCGTAATATGGATCCCCATCGATCATTATTACGGAAAAAAAAATCGTGCCTGTTATCAAGGTTAAAATTGAGAACAACTAGAAATTACTGCGAATTATTCAACAGTACTATAATATCCAATATAACCATTGTAGCGAACAAACGTTTGTCATTTTTTACGTAGGTTCTTTATTATTCTAGGTTTGCCATTTGAAAATTAAAGAATAGAAAATTCAATAACAACAAATAATCTCCATCTTATTCAATCCGTGCCATCTGTTATAATCCTTTTACTATTTTGTGCAGATCATAGTTTCTCGTTCAGTATGGCTGACATATGTCAGGTTCACCTTAAAAATCGAGTTTCTTCCTGATCCTATTTATGTCAAAACAAAATACGTCTTGCGCTCTATACAAATCAGCTCGTTTTCCCATCTTTGGGATTTGTGGGTTTTCATGTATATACACCCTCGAGTAGAAGTGGCAATTGTCAAATTATTCATTTTCAATCAGGTTTTAGAATAAAATGCTAGGTGAACATTTAGGACATACCGTTTGTACTCATAGACGGGTACTATTCGACAATTTCTCCTTGCCTTGTACATAACAATGTGTATACTAAATTAAAACATTGTTCTGATGTAGGATTGTCGACGGGAAAACTATGCGAATTGCGCATTCCCGGTCTTCCATCACAATATTTTCTTTAGCGATTGGACCACCCGCTGACCCCAAAACAGCCCGCGACCCAATTATCCATTTTATTTTAATAGAATAGTTAACTATAGAACCGTACCGGGCTCAAAAGACATTCATTCATTCCTAAATCATTTTTGTTCGTCGGAATATTTTTAAAATTATTTGTGGCCATCGACGGATTTGTATTTTTAACAAACTCGTTCAGGCGTTAAACCATCAGAATTAGTGTTGATGGTATTTCAGGCACTGTTTCACCGCTTCCCCTGGTTAGTTTTTCAACTAAATGAATACTAATTTTTGTTATTCTATTGCCAAATTGTATTTGTCTGTCTTCGCTTTCAATGGCCAATGTTTTGACTTGTTATTTCTTTCAAAAAAAATTGCGACATATTAGGAAGTTTGCATTTGTATTTACGTTTGTTTTTGTATTTTAGCTGATGGTTTTCATCAAAGATTCGGGTAGTTGCGCCCAGAAAAAGACCTACATTGCGGAAGTGGGAGAACAACTTCCGGTTACGTTTACGGATGGAACTCAACACAGTGGAGTAGAAAAGAGCGTAAATTTGTCGGAAGTCGAATTGGGAAAACAGATTCAAATCGAAATCAGATTCATTGCAACGACAATTGTAGTCCGAAACGTAAGTAAATTCAACAATTTAGTTGTTTCGTACTGTGGTTAAATATGGGATGGCTTTCGTGAGTCATATGTTGAGATTGACGCTAAAAACTTCACTTTTACAAAGTCTAATTGTAAAATGTATTTGCACTAACTTAAAGAATTCTTTTCTATACATCAGGTTGGCACACATCTATCATTCTCTATACAAATGCCAGAAGAAATCGTCAAGAGTCCGATCGACCGAAAGAACCAAATGTGTATTCGCGGGTGTCCGAAAAGACAGCGCATTCGTCTTACACAAGAAATTGAACGACTCACACTTAGGCCTAAACCAGTGCCGAAACAACTGGTAACGTATTCTGAACATGATGCTAGGAAAAGGTGCAGGGATATACTTCTCAATGAAAGCAGGTTAGAGATAGAAGAAGGAAATATTACGGAGACCAGAACAAAACGGAACGCCCCTGAATTAGGAGAGAAAACTCCAAATAAAAACCGAAATCGGAGAAAGCAAAATGGCAGGCGGGAACTTGACCCAGCCGCAACAACATGGATGCAAATATCGCATTCGGACACGGATGGTGACGACGAATTCCTCAGGGCATTTTCTAGATCCAAGAAAATCAAAAAACGAAATCGTCACTCACCCGGACATAGACGCAGAAGAAAATTCAGAGATGGACTCATGCGAGACGATCCGAGGCCAGGATATAATGGCAAAAAGTGGACGTCGTGAGCGTGGAGGAGGCGACGCTATCTCAAATGTCGTACGTGGGAAGAACTTTTATTTTGAAGCTTGCGTGTTCGATTTGATGACGACCGGCGATATTACATACGCGTCGTCAGCACGTGGCGCATTCAGTGACGTCACACGCTTCCATAAGGAAGGGGAGAATGCTCGCGGTGCGTCCAAGGAAATCATAAACAGTTGGAAATATATACCCACTAGTTCATTACCTCAGGAAACCACAAAAGCTCCAGTTTCTACATCTACTACCAAAGCTAGCGTTAAAATAAGGACTACAACCTCTGGGGCAAATCGTTCAACATCTAATATAAATATTCTTTTATTAATAATTTGCCTCATATTTAGTTCAAATTTTATACAAATTGGAACGGTTATGAATGTGCATAAAATATTTTTTAATATCAAAACTAAAACTTGAGGTTAACGCATAAAAAGTTTACCCCATAACGTAAATTCTCTACAGTTCGTGTAAATTGCCCCTTTTACTCATGTTTTTGAATCATAGGATATATTATTATTATTATATTATAATTAAAACGGGCTTTTATTGATATTTTCATTTTAATGTTTCTTATTATTAATAATTTCAAATCAACACGATTTTATATATACTTCACCGTTCAAATTTACTTTTTTTTTTATATTTCATGTTGTGGCCTCAACCGCGTCACCTCAACATCATGTCACTATTATTGTTAGTCTTCCTATTTGTACCATTGCGCGCGAGCATCAGCTTTTTGCAAGGATTTGGTTTATGTATAATATTACCTTTTCTGCGCTTAATTTCATCAATTTAGAAAAATCTCACATCTTCACCGGGAATAATGTAACGCAATTTTTATTGAAACAATTTTGGTCGCGAGTTAGATTCAAAATTTTACTGCCAATTGTCATTGTAGATTGAACCTAGCGCCGTAGAAACTGTTTGGGGAATAAGCAGTATAGCTAAGTCCGGAAAATTGTTTATTGGATTTAATCCAAAACCAGAATGTCATAGAAATAGAATATCTCAAACATGATAACTGGTTGAAAGGTGTATTCACGTTCTTATCAATTTTTGTTATCAATTGCCATGCAAGATAAGGGTGGGGTCAATTGGGTGAAACCAATATTGTAGTTTCGATTATTGCCAGGTACTAAAAATGCTGGCCCTTTTCTATTCACAGGCAAAGTAATTCCCGCTACCAAAAGACATTACGTAGTTTAACGGGTATTTGACATAAAATTTTTATTCGTATATTATGTTTCACTGGTAATTGTCCTCGTGATTAGAGGTCACTTGGCTAGTTAGGGAATATCGTAAAAACTGCATCACATCATTTTTATAAATATCAATTTAATGATTCGTCATCTGATGTGAAATGTTTTGGATTTCTTGCTTGGCTGCTGTGTTCTACATTAATTTCATTTAATATTTTTTGTTTGATTTGAATTAACTTCATTGATATTTGATTATCTTTAGTTTTTGGTTTATTTTTTCTTGGCATATTAACTACTATTATTGTTTGTTGGCACATGTTTTCATAAAAATAAAATCTTGTTCCGTGAATATTAATTGATGATATTTGTTGGTTACTTTACCGGTGAGTTTTGCAGATAGAATTGAAAATAAAGAAATAAAGTTGTACGCAAAATATAGAGATGTGGGTTGTACGAGCAGAGAGGTTTTAAATGTCAATAAAATGGAACATTACATCATCGAACTGATGTAATCAAAGTTGCCTAACGATTTGAATTCAGTTATAAAAGATGCAGAAAATGGAGATCGTGATGATAAGAAAAATGTGCGCGCGTCAGATAATAGAAATTGACTTATAAAGTGAGACAAAAAATGTATAAAACAAAGGGACTAATTAATTGCGCAAAAAAATGAGGGACATAAAGTATCTGGATCCCAGTAGGCTTTGTAATGGCTACATGAAAAACCACAAATTCTTTTTATAAATCCATTTTATGAAATCTATCAACAATTGAAAAGCGCTAATCACGCTGGATTTTCAAAAATAATTCGCAAATGTGCTCTCGATCATCGCGTTTTATTAGAAATGCTGTGTTTTCTTTTCTATGTCTCCCACTAGCGATGAAAAAATCTGAAATATATTCTGTTTCCCGTATCTCGGAATGGGAATTTGCGCGGTCGTCGATTTTCCAATTGTTTCAGAGGGTATTACCGTTCAGACGCATATTAAAATATCAATATTCATTAAAAAAAGGTCATTAAGACTCATAGACAGAAACTCGAATAAAGACTTGCCATTCATATTAAAACAAGAGAGCTATGCTGAAATATATAGACACGATGACCAAAAAAAAAGAGTATAGTCTACCTTGCCATTCCCAGTACCGGTATCGTCAAAAAAACTTTCGCGTAGCAAGAGAGAAGCATGAGAGAGGTCGCAGAACCGCTACAATAATTTGTATCAATTTTCAAGAGGTCATCACACAAAATTTCGAAGTAAGAAACAAATCTTGTTGGGCCCACAGGATAATTTGGAATAAATAAATGTAATAGCCTTCTAGCAGTCTTTAACCACTGATTTTTGAGAGTAATTAAGCCAGTAATTAATGAGAAAGCGATTTTTTTCATACTGTAACAACAAGAAGAAAAATACTAACAAGAACAACAGAGAGAGCAATGCTTAAATATATAAAAAATGTATATCAGCAGCAGTTAAACAACACGAGCACTGAGTTTTTCTGAAAGGCTTGCAATACGGAATAAAAATTCACAGCAAAATTTTTGGTGAAATAAATAGCTTTATAGGAGTTGAAATATTGAAAAATAATAAGAGCCTACTAGCGATTTCTTTCAGTTTTAAAACAAAAAATTTGAAAGCCATTAGTCTATTAGTTGCGCAGAAAAGTGATTTTTTCCCAACAACAAGAATACCAACAACAAGAATGTGCCAAAACGATTTATGTCGTATCCAGAAATGAAGATCCGCGTATAAGTGAAGTCTCATTTCAAATTAATAGGCAAATCTGGGGACATTTAAGCTGTGTTTTGATAGACCCTGTCTTTACTGAGAGTGAGAGAGAAGATTTCATTTTCACCAATTATGGAAAACGTCATAAAACAATATTGAAATTTTTATAAAAGTTTAGCATCCAATTTACATATTGTTTTGTGTAGGTCAGTATGCAAGCCCGTGAAGGTCATCGAGGATTCTGGCCATTTTTACACTGTAATGAAACTGTTAGAATTGGTTGCTATAATATATATATAAAAAGGCAGAAATGGGTCTGCAGATAATTTAGTAATTCTCAAAGTCATGGTCAATGCGGTATTGGGCCATCAAAACTGTGATGCCTTTGTGTGCCATTAACAGACATAGCATTAGTCTACATAGTAATCAGTAACCTATATAGAGTTCATACATTTTTTTCAGCTTATCCATTATCTGCATAACCGACATCCATCTTATCTTGTTTTTTTCTCAATTTCGACTTCTCTTACTTTTCAGCTTTCAAAGTTTCATTTCTGATTTTTCCTTTCCTCAATTTCGCGCCTTTTGAAAAAGAGGGAAAGCAATTTCTCCACCATCAACACCATGCATCTGAAACAAATAACTGGCTGACTAATCCAATACCCAACATGGACCGGTAACCGGACGAAAGGCCGTGGTTCGCCATGTGAATAAGCCGTAATGGAGTGCAAGCTCGTTATGGAGCGATCTGCTGTTGACTGCTTTGCAGAGCTTTTTAGGAGTTCGAGGATGTTATATCTTTATAACAAGTAATGAATACAGACTCATTACAAAACTGCACGCGATTTATTTGGACATCCGTCCGTCAACTTAGTTCAGAACAAAAAACCTCTAAACAGAGGAAAAACGACTTACGACACTAGACAGCATTGTGACGTAACAATATAGCACACAAGCAGATAGAGTAGTAAACAAGCTATGATAGTAAGCTCAACATAATATATAACACTCCTTCCCCCCTTTTTGGAAATATTGTACAAATTCAAGAACCAAATATTAAAAATAAATGTACAACACAATTACCCGAATTCCAACATTCCAAATCAAATGGTATAATATATTGCAAAAACAAATATACAAGCAACGTACAGAATTTCACAAAGAAACTAAGAAATTCAAAGAAACTTTCTGTTCTGTACAAAATTATAAAACTTCTTATAGAGATAGTTTTTCTGGCGGTTTTGATATTCTGTCAGATCTTGTTTTATAAGGTATGTTTGAATTACTGGACGATTCTGGAAAATTAGGAACTGGGTCTACATTGTCTCTGTCATTTTGAGATTCATCAGTCTCTTCAGTAGCAGTAGAGGTAGGAGTTGAATTTCTATCTCCCACATCAACATCAGGTATTCCTGTTGGAATTGCAGCTGGTATTCTCTCACTCATTCTAAAATCTTGATTCCCTTCACGTACCATTACATCATCAGCAGAAAATCGATGTCGAATATGATCAAGATGACGTCTAAAAATTCTTCCATCGTTCAAACGAACACGACACATTTGACCCATAACTTCAGTTACTTGTGGCAGGTAACCATTTGAAACGAGATCCAACGACTTCTGTAATAAAAACTGGGTCATCAATGTGAAAAGTTCTTATTATCCACTTGGAACATTCTCTGCTGACTTCTTCAAACGTGATGAAGGTGCTATTAGATCAAGATGCGTTCTAATCTTACGACGAAAAAGTAATTCCGACGGAGTCTGACCAGTCGTTGTATGTGGTGTAGTTCGGTATTTAAATAACCACCGAACAAGTCTGACTGACAAAGATGCTGGTGCTTGTTTCTTCAATCCAAGTTTAACTTGTTTTACCATTGATTCAGCTTGGCCATTAGAAGCCCGATGTCTCGGTGGTGAAAACAAGTGCTTCACTCCATTTGCCTTTAGAAATGTTGCAAATTCGTCTCCTGCAAAACAACCAGCGTTGTCAGTGACTACAACTAGTGGTAATCCATGTGTAGCAAATGAAAGTCTGACTTTTTCAATAGTTTCATGAGCAGAAACTGACGATATAATCCACACATCTGGCCATTTGCTAAACGCATCAACAATAACAAGAAGCATTTTCCCATCAACTGGACCGGCATAGTCCATATGTATTCTTTGCCATGGACCATTAGGATAAGACCATGGGCTAGCAGGAACTTGAGGTGCACTGGGAGGTAACTGTTGACACAAACTGCAAGATTTCACCAACTCTTCAATATCAGCGTCAACCCCAGGCCACCATACATGATTACGAGCAATTCTTTTCATAGAACAAATACCAAGATGACCATCGTGAAGTAATTGCAATTTGCAACACTTTCTGTCTTCCTTGTGGCGGAATAATTACTCGACAACCCCCAAAATAAACAATTTTCATGGACACTTAGTTCCGTCTCTTTGCTTCTATAAATTTGTAATTCTGGGTCCATGTCAGAAGATTTTGGCCAGCCCATTTGAGTATGATGCATAACTGCGGACAGTACAGGATCTCTTCTCGTCCAAGACTGAATTGCATCAACTTTAACAAGGGTAGAATCGACTGCTTCAAGAAGATTCACTACATCACCACAAGGCGGTATATAATCCGGTTTATCAGGCAAAGGCAAACGACTTAGTGCATCGCTATTGGCTTGGTTTTTACCTGGAACATACACTAATTCGTATTGATATCCATCAAGTAATACTTTCCAACGGATCATTCTCGGTGGAGCTGCATCAGGAAGTGGCTTATTCTTCCCAAGTAAACCGAGAAGTGGCTTGTGATCAGTTTCCAAAACAAACGGTCTTCCATATAAAAATGAATGGAACTTTGTAACAGCGAATACTAGAGCTAATCCCTCTCTATCCAATTGGCTATAATTACGCTCTGGTTTTGACAAAGATCTGGATGCAAAAGCCACAGGACGTTCTCCTTCCTGCGTTATTACAGATAAAACTGCTCCGATTCCATAAGGACTGGCATCTGCAGAAACAATGACGGCGGCATTTCCGTCAAAATGAGCAAGGCATGGAGCATTACACAATAGCGATTTCGTTTTCTTAAAAGCTTCCACTTGCCTTTTATTCCAGTGCCATCGAACATTCGAACGAAGAAGTTCATACAAAGGAGCAGCAACAGTTGATAAATTTTTAATGAATTTACCATAATAATTAAGCATCCCCAGATATGAGCGCAACTGATGTATATTTTGTGGTTCTGGGGCATCCAGAACAGCTCTCAGATTATCTTCAGTTGGTTGAACTCCAAGTTTATTTATACGATATCCAAGATAAGTAATTTCTGAAACCATCCATTTACATTTGTTCGGATTAATTTTTAGACCTTCATTTGTAAGACGCTTGAAAACTTCTTCCAATCTGGCTATGTGTTCTTTATCAGAAGAACCGGTTACTCCAATATCGTCTTGGAAAACACCTACACCTGCTATGTCACCCAGCAGTGTTTCAAGATATCTCTGGAATATAGCTGGGGCACTTGATATTCCATAAACAAGACGATTTGTCGTGAATAATCCCCTGTGTGTATTAACTACTGTGTACTTTTGACTCTCTTCTGCAGATATGCCTCTTTCAGATCAATAACAGAGAATTTTTCCCCACCAGCAAATTTAGTCAATAATTCATCCACCTTTGGCAATGGATACTGCTCAAGACGACTTGCTTTATCTACAGTCAAGTCATAACTTCCACAGAGCCGAACTGACTTCTGATCAGCTTTTAATACGGTAACCATAGGTGCAGCCCAATCGGATGTTTTACATGGCTTCAAAATACCGATTTCAACTTGTCTATCAAGTTCAGCTTCGACCAATTCTTTGAGTGCAAGAGGTACAGGTCGTGGTTTATAAAATTTAGGCTTAACGCTGTCATCAATCTCCAATTTAGCTTCAGTTTTTGCACAACCTAATCCAGGTGAAGACAATTCAGGATACTTATCAAGCAGTGTACTGATTTTAACATCAGAATAGTTAATTTTGAAAATTGAATTCCAATCAAGTTTGATATGTTTCAACCAATTTCTCCCCAGCAATGGTTTACAGCGGTTACTATTTCTTACCACAGTGATTGGCAATACCATTGGGTTACCATTTTGATACGTTACAGTAACATCCCTTTCTCCCTCTACTGGAATAGACTCCCCCGTGTATGTAGACAGTTTAACATCGGTGTGGTTCAATTCTGCTTTTGGCCACAACTTTTTATATTGCACTAAAGACATGACAGATAGTGTAGCCCCTGTATCTACTTCCCAAGAAATGTTTTTGCCATCGATGTCAAGATCAAGATAGATTGGATTGCATTTCACACCCACATTGTTATTTTGCACGGACGACACTGTATGATGTAATTCGTATGATGAACCAGAGTTTTCATTCGTTTCACTTTCGCCCGGCGTATTCTTATCACCAGCGATACAACATTGAGAATTACATTGCTTACTTCTCTGGCCGTGTCTATACTGACTTGATTTCTTGAATCGACACACACTCTTGGTATGGCCCTTTTTACCACAACAAAAACACTTGGCATCTTTAAATGGACATTCACGGGCAAAGTGCTTAGAACTATCGCAGCGAAAACATCTAAGAGACTTACCCCCTCTAGCCGAAGAAAGCTGTGGTGCTCTAGGCTTGTTTGCTATCGGAATTCTTTTCACGCTGCACATCAATTTCATATAATTTCTCTGGTCTCGTGTGACGTTGTTCAATTTGTTTTGTTTGTTGCTTTGCTTGTTCTAGACTTTTTGCATAATCCAGAAGTTCTCGAAGAGACATACGCTGCTGTAGAGCTTTTTCCCTAACTCTAGAATCACATCCACCAGAAATAACTTGCTGTTTTATTTCACGATCAGCATCCGTAAAATCACAGGTAACAGCTAATTTACGCAAACGTGCCACATAAGTATCAATATTTTCGCCAAATTTCTGTTTTGCATTCCTGAAAACATCACATTCAAAATCAATGTTTATCTTTGGCACGAAATAATTATCCAATTTCTTAACGGTGTTGGCATAAACATTATCATTTTCATCTGCATTCGGCGGTGCGGGCAAATTCTCATACAGGTCAAAAACTTCAGGTCCCGCAAAATGTAATAATAACGCTTTCTTTCTCTCTGCGTTGTCAACCGACATGGCGAGGCACATGTTTTCAAATCGTCGCAGCCATTGTTGCCATTCGTCTGGGCGATTAATGTTGAATTGCGCAACTTCCAATGATGCTGACGTCATTATTCTGTTAACAGTTGCAATCGTGCTTCAACGATGCTCAAATAATTTACTGCCGTTTAATTCAATATAATAACAGGCCTTGGGTTCCCAGTCCAGTGAATGCTGTTCACTATGAATATCCAAAGTCACTGATTATGCTGCAATAATCAGTTCTAACTCCGTCGCAGTCCAGCGACTGTTCTCTTATCTATCCTCGAAATTAAGCTGTAACTTCGATATATTTTCCTTCCTTCCCCAAGAAATGGCTACAAAACGGCACAAAAAGGCTTTTTAATCCTCGTCGCCAATTTGTTATATCTTTATAACAAGTAATGAATACAGACTCATTACAAAACTGCACGCGATTTATTTGGACATCCGTCCGTCAACTTAGTTCAGAACAAAAAAAAACCTCTAAGCAGAGGAAAAACAACTTACGGCACTAGACAGCATTGTGACGTAACAATATAGCACACAAGCAGATAGAGTAGTAAACAAGCTATGATAGTAAGCTCAACATAATATATAACAGAGGACTGTATGTTTTATGAGTTCTTTCAGGTTGGTGCTTATTATTAGTTAGGCAATCAATAGGTTAGATAGGATAGGCTGAGGTTTATTTGTGTGGTAATATTTACTAATTGTTCCGTGTTTCATTTAGTTAACAATCCATGAATCCATCGATATTTGAATTCAAACTCAGTTTAGTCTGATCTACACACTCTGGGAGACACCTTTGGTCTATAAATTAGCCATTTTATTCTTGCGAGTGTTATTGCCTTATTGTTCGGTTGTGTGTTCAAGTTGAATCTTTCAACAAAGTTCGTGTGATCGTCTGAGGTGTTGGGGTTCAGAGATTGAAGCGTCATCTGTCTAGTGCTGTACAAACGAGGACAGAAAACACACGTTACTCTAACAGAAGCCGAGACTCGAATGTATTGTCGTGAACAAAATCACACAACTGCAAATCGCGTAGTCAAGAACGCGCGAACAACAATACCGGTACCAGGAGGAAGCAAAATAATCATTACCGGTACCAATCTAAGATAGGATTTACATATTTATCAGGAGGGAGAGGAAAGCCGATAAGACGGCTTAACCATGTGGCGAACCACGGCCTCTCGTCCGGTTACCATTCCATGTCGGGTATGGGTTTAGTTAGTTATTTGTTTTCGGAAGCATGGACTTGATGGTGGAGAAAGATGTAACCGACCAGCGGTTACGTGAACAACCCTACGGCGGCGAGGAGTCCAGCAATCCTCTTGCACATGACCATCCTCACATGGGATTCGAACCTGCGAACCCACGCAGAGTAATCAGAGGTGCGGTGGCGAGCGTATTCCTAACGCTTAGCTGCAGCACGATAAGCCACACCGCCACGCCAATCTGACGAAGACTGGGCGTTACGAGTTTCTGAGCTTGCATTGCATATTGTAGGAAACTGGAACGTGGTACTTGACAGTGGTTGGGTACAAACGTAACGCAGTTTTGAGACCCCACTCCGTGCGTTACATACGGGTGTAGGTCGGTGACAAATGAACGGTATTCGCAAAAAAAAAAAACGACCGCAATCCACGGTTCTCTCGCGGTGTTGGTCGATGACCAAAAGCTGGCAGACGAGAGCAAGTACATGCAGGCTTTTAACAGTTGTTTTAGCGCCGCTGAGCAATTTGGGTTCTCCGTTTGCCTGGGAAAAAGGAGTATTATACAGCTCCGGTTTCCTGATCGGTCGTTGGTACGATTCGAACGAATATAAACTAAAACCAGCGATTGCCGCCAACATATTCTATACAGATAGGTTGATCTTTTGACACGTTGACGAAATTTAGTAGTTTAACTTGACCACGAAAACTGGAAACGAAAAATGGAGGACTCGCAGAAGAAAGTGTTCTTAATATTCTTGGGGATGTCACAGGTGCATATTATTTATATTTACTTCATAGGCCTACTGATACGATGGCATATACCAGTGAATTTCAACTAGTACTTTAGGTAGGTCTGTAGGTACGGTACGTATTTTGTGTAAGACCTTATCCAGTTATCTTAGTACTTTACCATACCGGTACTGCTTAATGTATGCACATCTCATTAAATTGGTTTAAAAGTTGTTGAGCAATTTTATATTGTGCTTGTTTATTTTACTGCTCTCACTGTCTTTGGTAGTCTGGCGTGTACTTTCTTTGCACATTTTTAAGTTTGGAATATACGGTATGCCACGCATTAATTACTGTAGAAGGAGATCTGCTGATCTCTGTGTTTGTCTTTTTTCGATCTCTTAAAGAATAGATGATTGTTCAGCTCACATACCATAGTAAATATCATAGCTATTCTCTGATACTTGCTGTCCGTCTTAGATAGCCTAACTCTAATTGGTATTTTAATGTTTTGTTTAGAGTCCGAGTTTGGTAAACTTTTCTTTGTGCACTTTTTACTCTAGCCATTGATTCGGATTTGTTATGTTATTTGGTCACTTCGTTAATTTCCTTCAATGTCGAAACTGATAGAGATAAGAGTGTAAATGATTATTCAGATCGAATATATCCAAAAATCTGAAATTTTAATTTGTTGTTCCACAAATCATTTATAATATAAAAATTGTGCCACAGTTAAAAAAAAAGATTGAAAATGACTGGTATGCTACTATGGTACCTGTTGGGTTAGTGTGCAGGTGTGTACCAGCATCTGCCCCCTATCTGCTTTCAGTACTGCATTAGGTACCGTACCACTCTTCTGTATTGCTATATTTATGGCCAGGTGATCGATGAGTAGTAAGTAGGGGAAATTTTACCACTCTATACTCTTTATTTCTTAACAGGCCATTGCAATTGTTATGGTGGTTCTTGTAATTGTTTGGACGTCAAAAACATTGGAAGGATTTGCTTGGGATGGAACATCTAAGGAATTTAATTTACATCCATTATGCATGATATGTGGATATATACTCTTATATGGAGAAGGTTAGTTTATACTCTATTGGAGTTGAAAGAAATCAGATGATAAAAATGCTCAATAATTATTGTTATATTATAAAAATTGGCCATCTTGGGTTTGACAAGCCTTAGCTTGAGGGGCCTCTATTGGAGTTGAAAGAAATCAGATGATAAAAATGCTCAATAATTATTGTTATATTATAAAAATTGGCCATCTTGGGTTTGACAAGCCTTAGCTTGAGGGGCCTTTCGAAGCGTACCTTTAATAAATCATGTCAAGATTCGAACGGCGATATTTGAAATTTTCATTCAAAGAATGAACTGGACTCTTAATATTGGTTTGTTATTTTTATAACTTTCCTTTAAACAAGACCGTGTAAAAGCAACTTATTCAGAGAAATGAAAAAAATATTTAGGGCAAATTTAAGTTACTAATTGTACATGGCATGACAAATTACTATTCATGATTTCATTCATTTCTTTTCAGCGATTCTATCTTTTCGTGTTTTTTCTCAACATGATAAAAGGTTTGTCAAAGTTATACATGGCTTTTTCCACCTTATTGCATTCGTCACAGCAGTTGTAGGTAAGTTGTCTACGTTCATATCTTCATGTGTGCTTAAAACTTAAGTATTGGATGTTTAACATTGCCAATTTTTGAACCATTTATTCTTCAGCATATTCTTCAGTATATTCCTTCTTTGATTGCCTGTCGATAGCTTAGTCAACTAAATAGCTTTTTGAATTTGTCGAAAATTTTGAATATTATTATCACTAGTAAAAGTTTAAAATTCCGACTCAAGATTCAAACTTTCAACTTCTGACTCTTGGGAGGAGTGAAGTACAACCCCAGTTATGACTCCATTACTAGCCAAGAGAAGTTAAATGTAAAATTGTGTTTGGGACCGGATGATTTTAAAGTGAAGTAATTTTAATTTCTTGATTTTTATCAAGTTGAATATAAATTTTATTGGACCTTGAACTAGGCCTGATGTTTTACATACATACCGATACAATTTATTTTTAGGTATTGTTGCAGTATTTGATTTTCATAATTCATCAAAACCTCCTATTCCCAACATGTACAGTCTTCATAGTTGGTGTGGAATGATTGCTTTTCTATTATTTTGCTTGCAGGTATGTTAGTGTTAATATCTGAATCCATGTGGAGTAATGTCATTGATACACACTAAATATTTTGAACAATGTTGTGATTGTATTATTGCATAATTAATGAATGTTGGAACATGCCAAATAATATTTCATTCAGGTTTCTAGGAAATAATCTAGTAATTAGCTTTGCGGAAGGGTAAAAAGTGCAAAAAATGTTGAGAACCACCGCTTTAATTAATGCTTCATTCATCCTCACACACCTTAATTTGTTGTTTTCAGTATGTGTTTGGATTTGTGACTTTCTTGTTTCCGGGACTCGCATTGGCACATCGACAGTTTTACTTGCCTATTCACAAGTACTTTGGACTGAGTATTTTATTTATGATGGCCATGGCATCAATAAGCGGAATCACAGAAAAGCTATTTTTCAAGTGAGTTTGTTTTTTCAATCAAAATATATCAACTTGAAAAATTTTGTTTTGATCTACACATGTTTGCAACAGAAATAAAGTTATGGATCGAACTTCATGCAATACAGCGGGAGAAAATTGTTTAGGCAGTATCGAATCATTAGCAATGTGGATTATTATTGTCAATACATCTTTGTCTATAATGGTGCAAAAATGTCATAATTACATAAATTATTTCGTGGGTAACATTAAAATTAATGTAATATGTAGTGTACAAAGTAATTGAGTCATACATATCTTCCTAGTTGCTCTAGTTTAGTACCAATAATGATTCATAACAAAACAAAGTCATAGGTAGATACTGCAAAATGTATCAATAATATTTCTTATTACAGTAATATATCACTAATTAATAATATAATATTTGTTGGGATATTCTAATATGTCCCAGTTGGATATTAAAATATATTTATACTTATCAGCTATAATAGGATTCAATGCAATGTTAGTTTGTTAGCATGCATTTAGGTTAGTAAACATATAGATTTTTGTTCATTCTGCCTCCACCTGATTAACCATTACCTCTTCTAATTCGACATGTACTTCCTATCAAGTATCAACCATATGCTGTATATGTCATGCACCTTGAATATTCGCACAGATGACACATGACAGTATTCTGTGATCAACCTTGTTTATTCAGTTGTTGTATAAATTGTGATTCCAGAATGCATAGTGCAAACACAATGAATTGGAAAATAATTGATTATGTCTTCCTGTCAGTCTTTAAAGTGGATTAATGGCCGGACTATGTTATGGCAACCATTTCACAACTAATTGACTTCCTTTTAACCATATGTAGTTACATGCAGATTGATATTGCTTCGCCTCGTAAGATATTAAAATACCTCCAATATTAAAAGTGGAAAGCATATTAAAATTCAGTTCTTCTAATAGAAATAGCTTGATGTCTTTGGAATTATTATTGGCAACTGTTGGAACCAATTCACCTAGATTTAAAAAAACTGATGTGATTATTAATATTTCATCTAACATTAACTTTATCGATTAGAATACTGAAATTTGTTATTGGAATTTCGCTCAGCGGATTTGTTAATAAAGCTAATTCAATCCTATCTATTTGAGAATAATAGGAAAACTGATGTCATAGTGTGTGCTACTTGTCTGCATATTAATAATGATATGTTACCTTTTTCCGAAGAAATATATAATAAATTGGATTAGCATATTCATCGATTTTAGCAATTACAATTTTTCTCAAGTTTATGTTTATTTTTCATATGCTTTTTCTCTTCATAGGTTTCCAAGCGGGCAATATTCTAAACTGCCGTATGGGGCAGTCATTGGTAATTGCCTCGGACTTTCGATTCTAGCCTTTATCATGGTTGTTGGATACATTGTTTATAATCCAAAATGGAAACGCGAAGAAGATTCAGAGAATGAACCATTATCTGTTCATTTCAAACCTATTTCAACAAATGATGATGGAAGCGATGATGAGTAGTTATACTGTATTTTTATTTTATTTCACCCAGTTACAAGGTATTAGCTGTGTTATACCAACTAGGTATAAGATTCAGATGTAAAGGTGAATTCCTGTTCAGGGATCTGCAAATTGAATCCGAATAATTTAGTATTCTGAATACATTATGAAATTATATTTTGAAATTAGATATATGGAGTATATTTTAATATGAGTCATATTCAACATATAACATAACATAGGGGTATAAGGGTATAATTTTTCAATGAGTTAAGTGAAGGCCTTTGGCTTCATATATAGTATCTAATTCACTATGATACCAAATTTTCAAATGTAAATATTCTAAATTATACGTAAAATTAAGAGTTAACTATACCACTCATGTTCAATATTGATTGTATTGTAATATTCGCTTTGACGTCCGCGATTTTTACCAAGCTATTTTTGTGTATATGTGGCACTGTATTCTGTGGTAGCATGTTCAAAATGGGTAATAGTGTAGTATTTTACAACCCTACCCTTTTATCTATTCCTTTCTTTAACTTGTTGCATTATTTGCTAATGTTGCAGAAAATAATTAGAGCATTGTAATATATGAGTGGTAAATTTGATCACACCATATATAACATTAGAGACATTCTTCAATCATACATCATGTTATTATTATTTTCATAATTATATACACAGATATATTATATTCTGGGCCATGCCATATGAGATATTATTTTTCTATTTTTTAAATGCATTTGCGTTGTAACAACTTACATTTTTTATTGTAATAACCCTTTTCAATATACAGTATACGATGGTTTGGTATTGTTTCCGCTATGAGTTTTCACTAGAACTTGATTGTTATAGATCTATATTTATGAACTGTTCATTACGTCAACACAAATGTTTTCACTAGGGTGCTAGTTACATGTGCTAAATGTTGCCAATGTTTTACTTGTGTATTGTTTAAACTGACATGAATGTAATGTTTCTAATTATGATATTCATTACTCCTGTACTTTTAATGTACTGTCCTTTTTTTGTAGGATCGATTTTCAATCTTTGTTTCAGGTTTGCTTCATTACTTTACAAAATAGTAAGATCAATTTATAAGGAACTGAAGGTTTTTATCTGTGACATTTTTTCCACAAATATTTAAAAATGTTATGCTTTTATTTGTTGGTCTTGTATGGTTATAAAACTCATGGACTTACTCTAGATTTCTATAAGTTATAGGTGAACTAAGCCACCACTTTTTCACCCAAAATATAACTATCTTGAACTCAGACAAATTTAGGTTATACTGCAGTTGCTTGTCTAAACCCATTGATGTTGTGATAAATACATTATGAGCTTATCCATGACATTTTTTCTTTAATAAAGCAAGATTATGTTGGCACTCCCATTTTCCAAGCATTCATGGATGCAATTTAAAAGTTCTTATTGAATTGTCCGTCCACTACCTTTTATAAATTTTAAAATCGTTATCTTTTGAACTATCTATATGGAAATGTTGCAAGATGCTTGTTCCATTTCATTTTTTCTTTTTAGATGGTATCTGTATAAACAGATATTTAGACGACTATTTATTTCAATTATTCATAGGATATTTACACTGTCAAAAAAGAGTGCTTTTACCATTTTTTTTCATTTGTAAAAATCGCCCGCTATGAGAAAATTACGCTGAAGATACGCTTCCACGGACAATTGTAGGATGTTTTGCACTCAGGCTATGCCCAACGTAAGAAACAAATATCAATCATGAGCTGTCCAAGTTACTGTGAATTACAGGAAAAGTAGCGTCTTTTTTAAAGGCGTATCCATAATTTATTATTCAAAGTTCCATCCGTCTGCGTATTTGCCCAAGATTTCATGGTAAGATTAATCTCTCCTGTATCACAAACTTGACATTGAGTAGTCTAAAAACTATAGGTTTTGTATAGTGAAAAATACCTTTTCGGTTCATATTTACCAACAAGAATAACGATTTCTTTGCATTTTAAGCTTTGTAGTCTATACCAGGACGAAGTCATTTTAATAGGATCGATACCTATTCGGGACGAAATAAGCCAAGTCCAAAATTGAAAATCGAGTTTAATTTTATGAATAGAGTAATAGAACTAATTTATATATTCACAAGCGCTATTCCGCCAGTGTGAAGCCAGTCCGTTAGTGAAAACACTAACATTTTCATTTATAAAGCTTTAACAGTGGCTGGTTATGTTATTCGCGTGGTTCTGGACTTTTAGAAGGTTGTCACTAATATATAGGAAACTCGGGAAATCTGAACACATTCGTTACAATTTAAAATAGGAAATATACACGTTTTTAAAAGTTTAGCTTGTTAGCAAATCCTCGTATGGACGCACGTTTGACGTTCGAAAATCGAACCTTATATGATAGAACTTACCGTATTATCGTAAGTGTCACATGCCGCCATTGATTTGCTGTAGGACGCTTTCTTTTTCAAATTTCCCTTATTATTTTACGGAGACGTTGGATATTGATCCTCGTGTTGCGACTATGCAGTTTCTCATTGGAATCTCCTGGGAATGTAAAAAATCCTAATTCGATTTATCGTTCGCCGTTTGAGGTAATATATAATTCACGCGTGGTGATAAACACGAGAATCTGTTCAATCTTAACTCGATTAGTTCTTGGGAACTACTGCTTTCATCGATTCGTGCTTTCACAGGTGGTGGATACAAAAACCCGTAGATTTTTGTCAATTTTACCGATAATTTTGACTAGCGTTTTTTCGTCCTTGCTGTAAAAAAGCTATTCGTCCAGACTGCTGTTATATACACATTGGAAAATGGTGTGCCGTATAACGCGCTTCACTACATCTGGTCGAATTTACTTTGTCCAATAAAACCTATGTTTAGCTATTGCATTTGGTAGCAGTATATTGTATACATGCTCAAAGACCTGCAAGTTACAAGTTGTACATTGGTTCACTGATTTATATTCCTCGTTTCCTGGAATTGGTCGTCTCTAGATTAGGGACTACTCTTATCTCGGTTGCCAGTTTATTTTGTGGTAGCATGAGTACCAAAGTTGGCCGTCTTTTAATTCCTTTTTCGTCACCATCATCTTCACGAATTGTTATTGCCCTTTTTGATCTAATGAAATTGTAATCTGTGTCATTGCGCCGTCGCTATCCCAATTTTCTATAATCGGCGTGGATTCGTAATGTGCATGCAGTTTTTACTTGATATTGTATTTGTTCATCACTGTTTTTGTCCTCAGAAATAAACTCTATTTGTGTTGATATCGGATGATGTTGTGCTGTTATAAATATTTGACCAAAATATGGGGTTTGACAAATCTTTTTGCTTGATCCTTTTCTTGTCTGACTATTTTAAGAGACCGCCCTTAGTGTATGTCATTGAAAGTATTCTGTCTGAAAACTTATAAAATTAATAATTATCAGGAAATACACCTATTTTGAGCTACGGATTTGCTATTCTCCAAACTAAAGCAGTGATACCCAAACTTCTCAGTACATCATCGTCTTGCCTATTCTGAAACGATTCATTGCCTCTCTCGCAAATGTATGTTTCTCTTAGTTGTTCAATAGGTAATTAGATTGTACAGGAAAGGCAATTGTTTTGGCTTACTGACTACAAAAGTCAGCTGGAAGCCGCACTAATTAAATAGATTGATTGAGCATTGATATAGTGTATTTTGCACTTGGAATACGTAAAAATGTGTAAAACATTTTCTCACCAGACTTCATACATGGGAAATTTACAGCAGTTAGGAACCTATGTGGTTCAACCAATGTTCTGATTTCTTGGACCCATTTGCACCCGCGAGGAATAAATAGATAACAAAACCACATGATTGAGTACTTCATTTCTGGTATATATATATACTGTATTTGTAATTTCTTGGCATGAGCTTGGACTTATTCCAAACGTATGTGAAGGAAAATAATGGATGAGGTAAGATGGAATATGGTACAAATATGGCGGTCAGATCATAACCCCCCCCCCCCTGCACTTAAAATCATCGTAAGTGACCCTGCCTATGCCTACCCATAAATGAGCACTGGCAGTTTATAAAGAATTTAATGGATTTATCCGATCGAATGTAAATACATTCATCAGATAAACAAAAAATATCCGAGTTCACATACTTTTTCCAGAAAAATATATTCTGCGAAACGTTGAGACTCTTTTATTTCACGTTTTTATGCCCCAGCTGAAACACCCCTAAAATGTTAATCTTTGTGCTGGCGTTTTTCATAATATGTCGCTCCTTCATGCGATACTTTTTAAGCGATGAAAAAGCGCGAGGTGTCGCTATTACAAGGGACAGTTCTTTGCATGTCCATCATACCTCGGGGGTCCGAATTACCCCGACATATTATATTATTATCATTATGGCTGTTACTGAGTGATAAGTTTGAAGTAATATATATACTTCCCTGGATTTGGGTCAAATACGAATTATACCGTAAATATATACCACTAGATTATACTGTTATGGCTTTTAAATAGTGTTCTCAAATGCTGGCAGCACGTGCGGAACCAGCTTCTGCGAAATTAAATTCGGAAAATGTGGGGCACCACGTGGTGGTGCATTTTTTTATAGCCAGCAAAATTTTAGACAACGGGCGATATTTAGAAGTACCAAAATCAACTTCTCTACAATCTATGAGTATATTTCTTGTTTAAAAATGAATGTAAAGAAATGCATCCCCCCCTAAAGTTAGAAAGTTTCGAAGCGATTCTAATTTTGGGTGCATTCGAAAATAGCAACTATTGTGATAAATAACATTATCAAGAATTCTCCGCGACGGTTAGTTCAGGCCAGATCTATTTCCATCCAAAGTTTAAACAAAACCAAAATTTCAAAACTCAGTTCAAACTAGGACTTACTTTTGTAGATATATATAATATGTATATAAATGTGTTGGATTAGCGATGGGGTGTACGATAAGAGGCGTGCAGTATATTAGCACTTATATAAAATATTAAGTATCTGTTGTATTGCTAGATAAAAAATACTTTCTTTGGATTCGCAGCAGTCAGGTTAAAAATCACAATAAACTTTAGGTTTAGGTTATTCGGCACGAAATGTACGCATTGATCGTTTTGTTGTTCTTGTCATTTGTATTTTTCTTCTTGAAGCTGTGAATAAAATTGCCTTTCTCATAAACGACCGAACCGAATGCTTTGAGCTCTGCTATCTTGTTTTTATTTCATTAATGTGGTAACCGCATTGCATGACACTTTTCTAATTTTCGTAATTCGATACTTTGCAAAACGTATTTTTCAAAACAAGACCCTCCGGCTGATTCGCCATAAAACCATGCGTTATTGTGCAAATCAAATTTATTACTTTTCGCCTAATGTAAGATATATTCTAATCGCCATATGCACTTTTATTTTTACTGTTACAAAATCATTGCAAAATATTTCATTATTATTGCTAGTGAAAAAACAACAACAAATATTTGAAATGTATAATACTGACATTGTTGTAAGAGATAACTATTCCCGACATCAGAAACATTTTTAGAGAAATTCCGTACATAGGTATAAATTTATCCAAAAGCGAAAAATTGTTTGTGTAACCAAATAACGACAAATTACGTAAGGAAACGTATATATATATATAAAATGACTAATGAAAAAAAAAGACAAAATAATCAAAACTTGAAATAATAAAAGAATAAGCAGAAGAATTGCTGATTTTCGTGATAAAATATAAATTTGTTTATTATGTGGCTTTGCAGAACTCTCACAGCGTTCAATTCTGAAACGAAATAAATGAGACCAATACCCTAGTGGCCAGTGGTGGGATTCAAATGTTTTGTCAACCGGTTTCATCACACAAATGTTATATTTTTGAGCCGGTTCTGTTACAAAAAGTCTTGTTTTTTTAGTAATGTCAACCGGTTCGCTGATCTCATAAAATTCCGTGAGACGGTTCTATGGAACCGGTGCGAACCGGCTGAATCCCACTACTGCTAAGTACTAAGTACATAATCTTTATGGAATAGTTTAGTCATATAATCGTACTCAGTTTGTTTTCAAGTACAAAGGCACATTTTAATGCAATAACTGCATCCACATCTCAGCAAACTGTCACTTGGAATTCACATACATTTTCATTTTGATGAAATTTGCATCACGTCTTCTTTCGATTTCGTTTCCCAAATAACCGATTTTTTTCACAAGCATTCCATCGAACTGTAAACTCACTGAATTGTCCTCTGACTCGCTTGATTCTTGGTTGCTTTACGAAAGCAAAATATCGGGAACAGGCGATTCCGCCAATTTTTGAAAGAGCATATTATTCCAATCAAGTTAACAATCAAATTTAAATCGTAAATGAGGTTTGAAACAATCGATATTTTAATAGAGTATGTAACTAATACCGCAACCATATCCGATAAAAGACAAGCAAATGTTGCAATGCAAACCCGCTTTATTGTTCCACCAATTCTATTATTTCCGTGCCTTCGAATCTCCTTATTTTTTGCGTTGTTTTTCATACTGATGCAAATCAGTGGTCCAATGTACAAGCCCAGAAGAACTATTTGAAAACTGACCGTAAAGACTATGATCATCATCCATGGGACAAAATCGGGAAGAATCGTTTTATCGAGACTACATCCAAGTTCCCCGGGCTTGTATGTGATAGTGAGAGTAAAAACCAGCGTAGTAGCAATTTCACCAATCAACATGACACCAAATATGACAGCACTAACCATTCGAACTTTCTTAGAATTAAACGCACTGAGTGGCTTTTGAAAATACAGTATGCGTTGCCTCAGCCAGAGGAATGAATATATTGTAGCTATTGGAAACGCGTACAACAAAACATAGACGTCAGCGATTATATTACATGTGTTCTTATCAGAGTCCGAAAGAAACATCTTCAGCTGCTCAGAAGCTGACCGAAGTGTGACAAAAACAGCCGAAGCAATTGTTAACAGTTCTAATGCAGTTTGAACCATCACATTTGAACTACGGTGTTGCGACCTGCTAGATGTGATAGACAAAATATATTGCCGCCTTTTCTCATTGTTTATCTCGATTTGGTGTGTATTTTTGTTGTTGTTATTGTGATGCGGAGACGAAATAGTATTCACATTTGTAGAGAATACGAATTCGTTACCGTTGAGCATCCTGACTTCTTTCCATGATTTATAGCGATGCCAAGTTATTGCTAAAGTTATATAGAGACTGATAACAGTGAAAAACAAAGTCACTGTTTGGCAGAAGATCCATCCAGCACTGTTACGATCAGTAATCACTGACGACGAATCATTGATGTAGCTATGTCCTGCGCTAGTTACTGAAGAATTGTCTTTGTTTATTCCAGTGATCGTTGTAACGGTTGCTGAAACACCATTGTCGTGCTTACTGCTGTTGTAAATAAGTTGTTCTAAATTATATATTTCAGTATCCATCTTACTCCTGCGGAAATATCAAAATTATTAAGCTGTTATCTATATGAATTGTATTACAACCTGTGATATAATGCGATAACGACTTTATGACACATTTAAGTCTTAAAATTATGCTAAATGCCCTCATCATTAAATCTGATTCTGCCACAGTAGTAACATTGACTGACGACGAAGCTTGTACATCGTGCGTGTTTACGACCACGACAAAAACAGCTCTTATTACGAATCAAACGATGAGGCATTTGACTGGTTATTTTCCGCTGTCTTGAATTTATATGTACATAAGACTCTTTTGTGTTTAAAAAAGGGGCAACATCGTAAAAATTCCCAACCAGACGCGCGTAGAAAGCAGAACACCCTTGCTCACTGTATACTACTATTCATCATGTTTCTATAAAAAAAAACTTCGAGAGATTTTTGCTAATGGAAATTACGAGTCGGCATATCTGTTTCGGAAAGTCAGTAGACCTTGAATTGAAAAAACCGAAAACAAATATTTTCGCGTTGGGGAAAACCTGGCATTCAATAATTATTTTTAGTGAACACACAAAAAAAATTTTGAGTTCATTTTATATGCAAAATGAGTTAAGTAATAATTTTCCCACTAATTTAAAAGTACCTTTTTTAAATTAATAATGCAATTTTTTAATCATTATTATTGCCTTATTATATCTTTGATATTTTCTTTTTGTTCATGTTCATATATTCTTGTTTTGTAAATTGACGTCATTTAGCTGAAGTACCTATAATTAAACGATGGTATATTTGTAGTTGAGAATACATATATATAAATTATTGTCACACCTGCCACTATGACGTTTCTGTCACTATAAAATGCTTGAATGCTTCCTAAAAAACCTATCTTTGCTCTTCTATTTATAACAGATTTCGATAACGTCATAATCTTTACCACAAACTGAATAAATCGTTGTGTGTTGAACGCGAATTGTCAAAAACTTCATACAACTACCTGATAATACACACAAATGTAGAATTCCTAAGTTCGTAAATTCTATTATTGAGGTAACTTAGACAAACTGCAATTCACTGTCGAAGAGCCTCTAAGGTTTGCTGTTACCTCACCCTTCAGCAACGTAGCCTAATACAGTATTTATTCCTGGAAATCAATTTGAAAAAATATGCAGGTTATGCTTGTATACGCACACAAGTCGATGAAATCACAAGTTGTTGGCTCGCATATGACTAAGACTCACTTATCAAAATGTGTTAATATGTTAAAAGCGCCAAAACCATACGTACAATTATTTACCATCGCACAAGCGCATGCGAAACTGAATTCTTTCTGTCAGTTCGAGTTCGTATCTTATCAAGCGACTTATTACTAAATTATTTTTACATAAACAGCATCTGTATATTAAACTTATTTGAATGGATGTATTTAATATCCGTTTCAATTTCTGAATATCATATACGTAAACAAAAAGCAATTATTTTGCTGACATTTTTGAAATTAAATCCCATCATTAGTCACAGTTATTTTTTGTATAAAGAGAATAATATTATAGATATAGACAACATTAATTCCAATTTTAAAGAGGGTAGAATGTGTTCATGTAAACTTACATTCACGAATATTTCCAGCAGACGATCGGCGTTTTATAAAACATCATTTCGAATAGCACCTTCATGCTTAAGCAGAAACCTCACAATGATCAATCGAATTTGGAAGGTTGTTCGTAATGCGTACAAATATGAAAACCACCCTTGCAGCTATAATTTTCAATAACGTGAAATGCCCCCAGATGACGAAGCTTTAATTATAATTCTGAACGCTTGGGCAAACACGTTCAGATTGAATCGACTGGAAATATTTTTGTTACAGTCATCGTTCAAAAAGAATTTATAAAATGTTTCATATTGCACTATAGTGACTAAAGTATGAAGTAAAGAAGATAAACATCAATGAAATAATATATAGTCACTTTGGCCGCTATTTGACGCGAAGAATTCCCTTCGTAAATTGAGTATTAAGTCACGATATTTCGATTACAGCAGTTTCATCTACAACACGGGTCGATTTTAATTATGATCTATGGTGATTATATCAGCTGTCAAGTATGTATTAGTCGGGTTTGGGAGTGAATAGCGTAACATTCATTCTGAAATTGTTTTACGCTTAAAGGTGATGTATTGATCCTTGATAATTAATATGTTATCTGGCCTTTCACACTCCCATAATCTCGAGTTTGTATTAAAATGGCCGCAAATTTGCTACAGATGCGCGTAAATCTGTCAGGTTGAAGATGCGGGATTCTTTATTACACTAGAACTAACGTCATTTGGATATCATATTTAAATCTTTCTTCAAATGTCAGGAGTTTAAAAATGATAACGAAAAACTATTAGGCTTTTAATTATGTAATTGTATTACTCATACGAGACAAAGATTTCCGACAAGAGTCAGGTTTGCGAGGTACACTTTTGAAGCAAAATGAAACATTGTTTTTGATTTTAACGTTCCGTTCTGCACGGCCTGTTTACAGATCACGAAAAGAAGACGAAATCGTATAGATCGTTTCCAACTTGTCATTAGACGTGACTCAAACCACTCAATTCATGTTCCCGTTTATGCCCATTCTCCATTCGTATGGATTGATTTCAAAACAAATGTGGTTTTACGCAAAGCGACATCTTAGTCAAAAATTGACTTTTGTGCAATACGATAAATATTATCGAGACGACTTTTCAGCTATCTGATCTTACGAGGAAATTCTGTTTAGGAAGCTTGGTGTTTGTGGCCTTGTCTAAACGTAGTAGTTACTCGTGCATATCGTCATCGACCGTTTCCAATTTCTTTCTCAATAAACCCACATCACATTCGGTATTCCTGTATTTTACTTGTGACCATGCGTGGGAAATCAATAAAAATGAACACATTGTCGAGATCCGCGAATCTACCCATTATTACCAGTATTTGGTTACACCGTTTACAGACTATTTGTTTCATACAAATCATTTAAAACAATATTTTCTAATAAACAAACATACCTGAAAATTAAATTTCAGATATTTTTAGCCTCTCTTATGTTTTCATAAAAATTTTATTAAAATAAAAACAAACGTATTTTAACAAAGTAAAAAGAACTTTAAATATCATAAATGTCATTTAGCCGAGCACCCCGCACCTGATTTGCAAACGAGGCACCGTTTTATAATAATTAGACCGTATTCCGGTATAGGCCGATTGATTAACATATCTTTTTTGCACGGCGCCTATAGTAGTTATTACGTTAATTAACCTAATACTCTACTAAAACATCGCTGTCTGTACTGAACTACAAAGTGTATGACCCCTTGACGTGAAATGGTATAATAAAATGAGCACCTTTCGTAAGATTTAGAAGGATCCTTTAGCATCGTTTATATTCTTAGAAGCTTAATATTACAGTAAATATTTACCGTCTTTGCAAGTCTGAAATCTAGCAGTATAGAATAGTGAATGTATACTTCAATTTCACAAACAATTACTCAATTCATACAGAGGTAAACTTGAATATACCATATCCTCTTTGCTGTTTACGACGGCACCAGTTCAAGCTATGATATACATAATCTTCCGTTTTGATATTTAACCCGAAGACCCTTGTATTTTTTTTCTGAATTTGAATAATTTTTTTGACAGGTTAATTTGAAAACCAAAATTTCCTATTATATTTACACTATATCGACGAAATCAAAATTGAGAGTATTTTGGGATATCTGTCCCATCCAACCATTGCGGCATATTGAATTACTATTTACTGAGACTGTGCAGACAAAAATAGCTCAGCAATACTGACATTAGTGCAGTTAGACAAGCAATTTGCGTTGAGCACCTGGAAGATTATATTTATCATACTCTTGAAATTGGATATAAGCTTATGTAATATCCATATTACACGGTAAAAAACAACCTGACCAAATTATATTTAATATCAGCAATCCAACACGCTTGTCTCTCTGCTTCTGCGATTTAGTATATGGTCAAATTAGGCAAATGCCCATATCATCTCGTTTTATCGACTGGGGTTCTCTTACATACGAGCATCTTTCACTTTTAAAAAATGAGAAAAGGTTTTCAATAATCTCAAGTACCTCTTTATTTTACTGATTACTTTAAGCCATTTCTACACATCCATATGCCACAGTGAGCTATATATCATATTACGCGATTATACGTAGTATGAAAGTCCCCAGCAATTCTACATCGCAAAAACTATAAGCAAAGTGTTCACTAGTAAACTAAATGCGAATTTGAGTGATTTATGTAATTTATTACAGTACACTAACCTGGAGAGAACATCGATGCATACGCAAATCAATTTTATAGGTTCTTGTGACGTGTGTGTACCAATATGGAGGTAACTAATTTTGTTCGCCTACTTTACATCAAGTTGTATAAAGGGACTGGAGCCTATGGACAGATGGTATATTCACTTGGCTAACACAGAGACTCCCCGAACTTGTAATAGAACTAAAATGAGGAAAATCGGAATAAAATTATGGCCTAACCCTATAACCTGGTACACACCCTGTGGGAGTATCGTTTTATGAGACACATTTCTGAACGAGTTTTATTACATTGGGGTTGAATGGAAGAGAGGAACCCTCTGCTCTAACGTAATAAATAAAACTAAAAACTATTTAATGCGAATATTTGGTAAAAAAAAATAAAAATGTATCCAATTCATTAATTATTACTCTTTGTGAGCTGGTCCAAAACAATGCCTTGATATGTGAAATTAAGATTCACATACACATATATCTATTGTGATTTCATGTCATTTGGAGTTTGGTGATCTAATCCCATTAACTTCGAATAATTGAGGGAAATTAATACTTTTCATATTATTTTGTTTTGAATAATCCACTTCAACGTAATATTCAAAAAATTTAATTTCAATATTTTTCAAAATACCACCACATTAAACTTGTGGTTAATTTTCCCAACCTGGTGAAATGGGTGGTTATATATTTGATGTAAATAAAACACGGCTTGGGTCTCTTCCCTTTTATTAAGTTGAATTGGACCTCCGACGTCATATTACGCGTAATAGAATTTAATTAAAATTCCTTTACAGGTATACGAATTTTTTTCGTCAATATTCTGAAAGCACCAGTCTGCAATTTTACGGTTTTGA